ATTCGCTGAGGGCGTCGGCGTCGCCGTCGGTGCCGGTGTCTTCTCTACTCTCGATCTCGACTTCTACCTCCTCCTCTTTCGCTGGATTCTCACTCATAGTCGCTTGTTTCATTCTATTCGTCTCTTGCCCTATCTCTTCATGGCCTGTGCTGATTCTAGTCTCTTCTCCTGCTTCCACAGGTTCAGCTACCCTCATAGATGAGTCTTTTCTGACTCGCCTACGTCGAGTAAGGCGAAAGAAGCGATGCGCGGTTGGTACACAGTTGTCCACTGCAAAAATTTAGCGAAAGTGAAAATTTGCAGGCAGTTTTTTGTTTACAGCGAAAAAATCCATGAAGTATTGATCATCAATTAGGACAATTTACTCGAGCGCGAACGTGCGAACGAGCGTTGATCAAACTGTACTAATAGCATATCATTGCCAATAATTGAAATGACCAAAATGTTATCTTATTATTTTTATTTGAATTATAACTCCCCCATCTGACTATTTCATTCATAGGTAGAATGTGTTCATTTTACAGGATGAATATATGTTAGTTAGAAAATAGAAGTAATTGAGTATTTAGCTAGGTCTGATGAATGTCATGCATTGTATACGTTATTATTGTATTAATCTTTTTTATCTATGACTTTACCGTTGCTAATAATTTGCCTACATAGATTATAGTACGAATCATGATGTGTTGTTGACTGCAAAAGAATTGTGACTTTGGGAGTCAATGGTCTCTGCTATATGAAATGTTTGGCCACTAGGACTACTTTGATATAGTAAGTAGTAAATAGCTTATTTCCTCAGTAACTCAACATCCAAGTATAAGAGATGGGTTCTTACCTTATTCATGTCCTATGCGCCACAGATATGTGGTTGTGTTTTTACTTGTTCTTTTATTCTTGTGTGTATTTATATCAATTTATTTTTTGCTAGAAGTTTATTCGAATGAAGATGTAAATTAAGAGTATCATGATGGAGGGTAAATAAGTGTGGGTTTTGACCCAGTTCTTTAAGGTTTGAATGTTCTAGATTTACTTATTCTTCTTTACTAGCTTTTTTGTGCTATAATTCTAACTACGGATGAGTCAGGATTGTTATATGTGAACTTTATCTTAGTCATTCGTTGAGGTTATGCAGTTTAAGAAATTTATGTCATTACTGATAATCAGTTTTTTTCCTAGTTGAAAGCCAACTTTCTTCCTAAAAATAAACAAGATTAAGTTATTTTAGACTGAATGTTTTCCAACTATTTATAGATTGTTGTTAGATCGTCTTATGATTATGAACATATGATTCTAACATAAATTGTTGAATTTTTACGTTAGATCATAGGTGTATAGGTATAATTTATGCATTATTGTGCATATGAGCTAGTTTTAAAGGCTTATGGTTTGGTGAAATGCTTCGAACGAAATTTGTGGAGCCTTATTATTAAAGTCATTTCTCTCTATTGCTATAATTTTTACTTGTTAATCATGGTGTAATAATTATTACTTTCTTTTTGATGCCTATTTAAATAGATAGGTTTGGTAATTAAGTGCCACCTATATTGAGCGATGTATCCCATCTTAATTTGCCTCGTTTAAAAGCTTTAAGTGCTCGATTATTGATTCCTTCTATGGTATTATTGGTTATTAGAAGGTGGTTGGGTGCTGAAGTTGAATGAACGTTTCTTATGCTTCCCCTACATATGGCTGGTGTATCCGACTAGCACTAATATGGTAATTGGCTTTTCCTCTCGCCAAACGAGCGACGAATGATCTAATTTGTCATACCGCGAATTTCAGTGCATAAAGGCTCTACGTCTCTGAATAACAATCTTCATGTTCATCCTGACCTGTGCACCCCTAATTACAGCTATTGTTTTCCGAAATGCTAAATTAAGGTGTGTCTCTTTTGTCTTCCTGCAAGGTAAACTGCGATTTTCAACTTCTTCACAGTGTTCATGCTACTCTATCTAGGACTCAATCATTGCACTTGATGGATTGCATGGTTGCTCAAATTTAATGCCACAATGAGGAAGAATTGCGCTAATTTCATAATTAGTAATACTGACTCATATTTCAACTAATCACATATACATATGTCCAATTTGTCCTTTCAATCGCGTTTACTAATGAATAAATAACTTTTCGTTTTCCCGTTTAGTATTCTAAATAATGATTGCGCATTGTTCCTTCATGAAGTGCTTTTGTTGTGGGTAAATTAACTGGCAATTGCACTTTCATTAATAGGGACTTGTAATGTCTCATTGAATTGCATTCGTCTCAGTTACCATTCAATGACGTCGGCTTCTGACACCTGTGATTAAGTGCACTGCCATTCGTTATCTTAATTCCCATCTCTTGGGAGTTCTATCAAATAACCTCACTGTGCTTAGCTTTCCATTGTCAAAGCTCATTAGCAAATGGATAGGAATGAGATTCGGAAGTGACAAGGTCAAGCCTCTGAATACTGTTCTCACAACTTGTGTCAGTGTGGCAATTGATTCTGCACTTGCTGTTAAATATGCCCAACTTCCTACGCACAACTTCATGCAAGGTACCTACAGTAAAATCGTCATTCTACAGACAATATGCAGGCCTAGGGACCATTCAGGAGGTATATTTTGATGAATATCTCAATGGAACTTCCGGGGCCTTAATCGATACGTATTCTGCCCTCCAACAGTAGTAAATTCTACTTGACTTTGCAGTAATATTTCATTTATTCCACAACGGTTGCTGTCGGTTTCATACCGATAATACTATGATCAGCAATATTGGGCTTTAATTATCTCAGTATTTAACACGAAAAAGCCAATTTAAGGCTTCTAGTTTTGCTTTCTATATTTGGGGTTATTTAAGCTTCAAGCGAGAGGTTATGAGTTTGAATAAACTCGAACGAATCCCGGTCACTCTTGTATCCTTATCACGTTAAGGTGGGGTTGAATTTGGGGGCATTATCACTTATACTGTGAACTCAGTAGACTGGTTATGCATGAGCTTAAGGGTGACGCATAATGACTAATCACTTGTGTGTTCNGGGGGGGGGGGGGGGGGGGGGAATAGCTAAACCAGAATTTGATAGACTATCTAGGGTTTAAATTCCACCTTTTTGTGAAATAAGGCAGATTTGAGGTGGTTTGGAAGGAAATGTAAGGGGTGTGAAGGTAGTCGACAAGGTGTGCGAATGACATAAATTGGATTGAAGAAGCGAACATTTCTCGTAGCATCAAATCGAAACCGTGTACACCCAGGCACTGTAGCTTCTCATTAATTCATTCTGTATCCAGTGCACACGCTCCACTTCTAATCTTCCAGCCCCCACCCTAGTGTCAACGTGCTTGTTGGCATGCACAAGATTATAATTGGCTTCAAATAATTCCCCACTCAGCTCGACCCTCACTACGAACAATAGCTGATTCTTTGGAGTCAAATGTGCTTTAGTTCCAATCATTATAGAGTTGAAGTGGAGAGGAGAAAAAGCTTCTAAGGAAGAGAGTTTTAATCAGCCATATTCTGCTTCCCCAGAGCTCTGTTCTTAGTGTAATATCACCCCGTGAACTCCTATTGACGATTATATAATTAGGCACTATTTTCAATGAAGAAGAGAAGGTAGTAAAAAATAAAATATCATAATCATCAAGAAAGGGCTATTATTTACAAGCTCTCATTTTCTACTTAAACAATGGACTAACGGAATTCTTGGTGCAAGTTCAATTCGAGCATCAGATGCAGTTCATTGAGGAATGAAGCCATTCTAAGAAGGCTTCGAACTCGTGTTTAGACGGAAAAAGTGAGAGATTATTAACATCTGATGGTATAGCGTGATGGTGCTTAATGCTAGAAACTGTGAGAGGTTTGTGTGTGGAGATACACGAAAGGAGCTGAAGGCACCTAATGCTCAACAAGGTCAGTTTCAGTTCTAATTGAAGGAGACTTTCTAAAATTGCCTTTGCAGTTCATTCTACGTAAATCGGACCCCAATTATATAATAGTAATTGTCGTAGAGATCTAATTTAAAGAGAACAAGTATAACTGGGATTCACCAGTCCACTAACAATAACTACCTACGCGATTGCCCTTGCCAACCGTGTTGGCGTTGTACATTCCACGGATTACAACTGGCATCCAAAAGAGCTCTCAGGCATGATTTTCTCATCTCAGTTTAACAACCGGCTTCTAAGAGTTTAATGGAGCAAAAATAGTCTCCCATATATTTCAGGACCGTGGTACACTCAACGACAAGATAGAACTAACGTGAAATGCACTGTTGGAAGTCAAACAGTAACAGCTTCTGTTGTGGTAGGAATCAATTCTATATATTATCACTAGCCGCATCATGTTCGCCATTAAATAATAAAAATTGGGTCTAAAGAATTTTATTCGTAATATATAAGCAAAAATTAACCGGTCAAAATGTCACCTCCAGTCAACAACACAATTTTCCCTTAAATCCATTTCTTACTTACACAGATTAAACGGAACAAAAAAGATGGGGAAATTTACAAATATAAAACCTGTTGTCACTATAGGCATCTTTAAAGCAGTAAAAACAGTAGTTAATGATTTTGCCGCAGAGTACGTCCCATTCGTATAGATTGGATACCCCTATTGGCAGCCATTTTACCCCAGGGAGTCTAAAATCAATAAAACTTAAATTATTTGAGAAAAACATCCCATTAAGGAAATTAAGCTATCTTACAATTATGAGAGGAATAGTCGAGTTCTCCTTTCGCTCGGGAGTTATAAGAGACATAGGAACCTGTAAAGGAGGTTAAGGTGATTCATCGCTCCTGATAGAAGCACACATAGTAAAATGGGTATTACGTACATTAACGCAATCGTGATTTGTTGAATCTTCACTCCTAGTGATTTCCGCTGCGTTATCATTCATTGGCGTCTAAAGAAATCACGACAAATTTAGAATTAATCGATAGAGCAATATCACTACTAATGGTCCAGTACAAACCTCCTCAAAAATGAGCCGTCCCCTGGAAATACCATCCTAAATGACAAAGGTGTAAGAAATATGGAAGAATACCTCTGGTGATAAAGGAGTAAGGCGTCCCCTTTTAGGAGTCTATAGTGAATCAAACATTATTATTAGCTAATTCAAACAAAGAATGGCATACCATTATTGACGTTGGATTTACGTTGTCATCGTCGTCAAAATCGAGTTTAGGAACAGGCTTAATGGGAACAAACATATTTTTCGGCGGCAAGCTTCCGTACTAAATAAAGTTAGGTTAGTTGATAAATTAAAAGAAAAAAATTGCATTGAAAACTTACTGAATGGGTTCGAACTGCCGAATTCTAGAAAGAGATGGTCGCATTAAGAAAAGTGATAATGCCAAAAGCATACCCTTAATGAAGTTTTCAATGCCCACTGCCTAGGAGACATCACTTCAATCTTAGTTGGCGTTC